AAATTATATAAGGAACTAAACATCATCCGAAAATTTAATTAATAAATCAATCAGATTGAATTTCAAAACTTACTATCACGCTAAATTGGATTGTAAATTCCAATAACGTTTTAAATTTCTCCATGTATAATAATATGTTAATGAAATGATACCATCTAACCCCTATGACAAAAGAACAGCGTTAATACATTGTAATGTAGATAAAAGAAAATATAAATATATTTTAAATTTACCATTCGAAGTTCTGTTACTTTCGATTGAAAACTTAAATTCCAATGCTATCTGATCCAATAATTACAGCATTATTGGCACCATAGTTAATATAAAACCCCTTAGCATCCATTGAAATTTCTAATGCAGGAATTCTGAACAAATTTTAGGTTTTCTTAAACATAATGTACTGTGTAGTTTATTCAGAAAAATTTCATGTAGTACAGCAACCAATAGGTGAATATTTTGACGATCCGGTGGATAAAGCGGGATCTGCATAAAAATGATTTGGAATATTGTATCATCTTCAGGATAATTGTAAAAAATCAATTGAATATACTAACCAATTATAATAATTAACATCAGCTTTAATAATGCAACTACGCTTATCCAGTAGAGTAATTTCAACAATCCATTTCCGTGATTTTATCCATGCTAAACATTTATGAGTCTTCCAAGACCTATAATTCGTATCATAAAACGGAAAACATTTTCCAGGCCTTATCTTTTCTTCATCACGAGCATCTTCTTGATGAATTTCATTAAACTTGATTAATTTAATACCTCATCTATTAACCTACCCTCTTAAATAACATTTGATTCTGTAGTTAACATATTCCAAAAGTAATTACATGATAAACGCCAGGATCTCCAGTATCATAAGCTTATGCATCTGAAATAATTCGATAAAGAAAAAATTTTTTGGAGGTTCTGAAAAAAATTTTTTACAACTTCTTTGAAGTTCAGCATCATCCTTATGTAAAAGCCATTTTGATAATAATTCGTGAAGTTCAGGAAATATGGTAAAAGTATCCTTAAAGATACGCGATGCTAGATCCATGTATTTGCAATTGATCAATTTATGAAAATACACTTTGCAAATATTAATAATAATAATAATAAAAATACGTGCACAAACCTTGCTGTTTCTAAATACAACTAGACGCGACACGAGCTAAGCACCTATGCTTCTCTCTCATATGAGCATGATAAAGTACCAAGCAACAATACTTACCAAATGACATTAAATACACTAACCCAAGCACTTTATGAAGTATTGTAAATCTAGCACCAAATCCAAATTCCGATGCAAATTTTGTCTCTAAATGTTCAGACCATAGTTTTTGATGCGGAATTAGCAATGTATAATCTCTACAATGATTTAATTCACACTATTATTCTAATTATGTCTTGAAAGATACTTTACTAAGGATGACGACGAGGAACATTGGAATTTAATTTTCGAAAAGAGCTGTAACTTCTGCATGTTCCATAGCACCTTGTAAGACGGTAATTGACCAGACCAATAATTACGGTTCTTTAAAGCTGATACAACATCTAAATAACGGGTCCATTTAAATGCACGAGAGACAACTTGTTCTAATACAGTTACAGAATTTAAAATATCAGCAATAAATCTTGATCCGATCAAGGACGATATAAAGTTTCGTGATTTCAGCTTCAGACCTTATAGTGATCATAATTGAATCTGATTTTATCGTCAAAGGATTCAATAGTTTCGTATGATCCATTTATTATCTATTTGAATGACTTTGTTGTAGTGAAAAAATTAGAATACTGTTTTCCATTGGTTGCTATGAAAGAATTTTTTTTTGTTTTCAATTTCCTTGTTATGACAGGATAATTTTTTGTTCCTCTGACATTCTATAAGTCATAAGAAGAATCAGTTAATGAGGACACTCAATAAGATCTATTAGAAAGAGTATTACGATACTGTATTACCTTTTAAATATCTGATTCTACAAATGATCTTAACATTATTAGTTTCAAGATTCCAGCAATTGGGATGAGCAATAGAATTATATCTAAAAATTCTTGAAGAGTACTATAATGCAATAAAGAAAAATTATCTTGAATCTATAATAATCGCCCAAATGACTTTTTAGCATGAAGCATTTCTTCCTATTTAAATTATATAAAGTTTTGAAAATAATAAAATTCTTCGATGAATAATAACAGTATGTTCAGTTAGACCCTTGCGAAGATTTCTTTTTTAGTTTATTGATAAAATTACTAATCACGTGGGGTGATACACCAATGACATCATTACATCATTAGTGATAGTGGTGGTAATACTCCTCTTTACTTTACTGCTGATAATAATAATAATAGTGATAATAGTGGTGGTGATGCTCCTCTTTACTTTGCTGCTAATGATGATGATGATTATAATAAAGGTAGTGGTGATAGTGATGGTCTTTATTTTGCTGCTAATGATGATGATAGTGATGATGATGGTAGTGTTCCTCTTTACTTTGCTGCTGATAATAATAATGGTAATGGTAGTATTCCTCTATACTTTACTGCTAATGGTAGTGTTTACTTTGCTGCTGCTGCTGCTGATGATGATGATGATGGTGATAGTGATGATGATGATAATAATAATAATGGTGGTGGAATGGTGATGCTCTTCTTTACTTTGCTGCTGGTAATAGTACTCGTCTATACTTTACTGCTAATGGTGGTACTCCTCTTTATTCAGCTTGCCAATTATTCTGTAAGTATGGATTAAAATATTACTGATTCAAGCGTATCGAAATCACGCTTACGAATTTTGCGTTTGTTATTAAACAAAAACATATTATTTTATTATTATTTAATTTATGTAAAAAGTATTCTCGATTATGAACGAAATAATGTTCTGCTCTCAATATTACACGCACAGAGAACTTACAAATTTTTTAATAAAAGTTGTCTCCTGAAATCAGAGGCGACTTTTATTAGTTTTAAATATATAATTTTTGCTTTTATTCTTTGTAAGTTGTGTTCGGAGTCATCTTGAAAGGGTTAGTAATACGAGAATTATCCACTTTTTATTAAATTGGTTTAAAAGTCTTATCGACATCTAAAGAAATTTTATTATTGTAACAAATTTATTATTTGAATAAAACTATTAGATATTTTCTTTTATTAATTTTAAGATACATTAAGTGATCAAGAAACTAACTTCCTATAAATGCACGCATTGTGAATTCCTTCCAAAATTAAATTCCAAGCTAATTCATTCATCGTCTGACTGTCCTAGAAACAACCTTTTACTAATAATAAACTATATATTTACATAAATTTATCTCCACCATTCTAAGTTAATGTTATACCATGTAATGTTTAAAATTTTGATCTCCTTTCCATTTTTCATCTCCTTTCCATTTTCATCCAATTCTTCTTCAAAATGTAAAATAAACCTTATCTATTCAACCCTACTATTTTGCAATTCCCTCCTCTTGAGCGAGTGAGTAACCACTTTCACCGTCGAGAGGATTTTGTAAATAGTCGTATCATAATTATAACGAGGATGAGGAATCTTCAGTTCGTTTGTGAAGTACTTTTGATTGGGTGTCGACACCTTTCAGATCGTTTGTGAAGAACTTTTGATTGGGTGTCGACATCTTCAAGCACCTACGGGTGAGGTTCCAACTCCATTTCCAAAAATTATTAAATTTTCGAGACGATCCTAATTGCGAATTAGTGATATTAAAGTTTGTTGAATGGCCAGTTTATGCAAATTACCTTAAAAGGTAATTATTCAATAAAAGGCCTAAAACAGCATTCAAAAAATATTGATTTTCTATCATAAATCACCAGGTAAATATACGCGTTTGTCCATTTATTTATGGCCGAAAAAAAAAGAAAATTTGGAGAAGGTAGCTTTCTGTCTGTTTAGAGCGTGAAAAAAGAGAAATTTCATTACAATTTTAGACGAGCATTCATATTAATGATATAATAATTTCAAGCAATAAATTTAAAACCCACCAAATCATTTCTCCAAATTTTCTTCTCTTATTAAGAAGAGAACGAGTTGAACCAATTGGTTTTTGATATCCATCTCCTCATTCTCTTGGAACCCTCAGTTCGATTTGGTTTAACTTGCTTCGGACTGTTTACTTTTCGATTATTCTTGAGCTTTTTCTTGTCTTTCTCGTTTTCCTTACGCGTATTTACGAGGCTGGTTTCTTTTCCAGAAAGCTTGGACGTTAATTTTATAGTTTTCAGCAAATGACAAGGAATATGCATGTATTTTTTAATAACGTTAGGAAGGTACATTTAATTTTGAGAGAATATTTTTGTGAATTTTTTGTTAATAAATTTTTTTGTGAAATTTTTTTTTTTTTTTTTGGTGCTTACGAGACCTTCTTATATTAGCTTTTAATTTCGGCGAAATCCGGAATTTTTAAAGAATCCCCGATAAAAAAATTTCATGTTCCGGAAAAATTTTGAGGCCAACGGATATTTTTTATTATAAAATATTAGTTAAAAAAATTCTATTCATTATGTCAAAGCCATAGAAAACTGATACAAGTAAATTTAAAAAAGAAAATAATTTGTTTTTATTCTTGGATTGGTTTGTAAGGAAAGATTTTATTTTATTAAATACTCTTGTTTTCTTATTTTTCGGGACAAAATAAAATTTGAACCCGACATCCGATCCGATATGCGGATATCGGGTTATCACGTATTTACTACTAATAGCAATCGCGTATTCGCGTATTACAATCTTTGAAATCTGTAAACAAAATGTTTTGTATTCACATGATCTGATATCCGCATATCAGGGTGTCGGACGTGACTGCGATATCGTTTCGAAACGAACCAATGTTATATAATAAGGAAATTCAACATATGCGCAATTTACAAAATGAGTAATGGATCTATCTATTTAACAAAACAAAAAAAAACAAAAAATCAAAAACAATAATTATAAACGTCTCTTTTCTTTCTCACTGAAATTTTATTAAAAAGTACTTCTGAAAATTTTTCAAAATGATAGTATGTATTCTATTGATGTTAATTTTCAGAGGTGTGCCTATCGATTAAACTGCGTTCGTTTCCATCGAGCACCTTTTATTTTTATTTTTAACTCTTCGAATTAACATTTTATATATACTTCAGGACATTACAGATACAAGTTGCTCATATATTCTTATTAGAAGGAGAAGGGAAGAGCTTTCATGGGCGAGAGATGTAGATCGCCATGGAATTAGTATCGTAGGAAATTACAAAGGCATGCGATTTATCGTCAAATGCATCGATACGAGCGAGAAAGTAAGCATCGATATCGTTGAAGAACTGAATGAGGTCATGCCTGATGATCCCAATTTGCTGAGGATCATCGTTACAAGTGGAGGAGGTTTTACAAAAGAATCATTGGAGTTCGAAAGGAAAAATAATTTTTGTCTCCTTACCGACAATAATCACTTGGTTTCAGATCTTATGGATCGTTATATGATGATTGAAAATGAAAGAATCGAAAGAATGATTGAAATCGAAAGAATGATTGAAAATGAAAGAATGTTTGAAATCGAAAGAATGATTGAAAATGAAAGAATGTTTGAAATCGAAAGAATGATTGAAAATGAAAGAATGTTTGAAAACGAAAGAATGATTGAAATCGAAAGAATGTTTGAAAACGAAAGAATGATTGAAATCGAAAGAATGTTTGAAAACGAAAGAATGTTTGAAAATGAGAGATTCTTAATTTTGATGGGGGGCAAGTTAACTAATATAAGGATAATATTTGTTATGCTATTTTCACCCTTTGCAATTTATTATCTTTTATCTCCATTCCTTCGCAGTATGTTTGTATAATATGTACGCATTTTATACTTTATCTTTCTTTCGCTTTATATTGTAACTACATTATCAGATTGTAATAAATAGAATGCTTGATCTTTTACTAGACTAGAAAATTAAAATTTCTATATAACAGATATTGTAATCCATGAAAAATATTGCTAATATAGATCGGTCGGGAAAAATGTGTAACAATGTATAAAATCTATTTTTAGAATTTTATTATAAAATAAAAATATTAGCCATATTTATATGTATTTTTTCGCCATTCCAAAATTTTATTAAGCCAAAAAAAAAATATATCAAACTTATTTATTATCCGAAACTATTCTCATCAAGTTTTTGACCTAAATAATTTCGCATCCCCACAATTTTATATCGAAAATTAAGAACTAAAATTTTATTGAAATGAAAAATTTTGTTGCTTGATCGGTTTCATCAAAAAAAATTGAACGTGAACGGATTTTTTACGTTCTTCGAAAAAAAAAAAAACTACCTCGTAAGCAACAAACGCCTAACACAAAATCGAAACCAACTGTTGAAGAAGTTGTAGTCTCAAGCAGAGCCAAAAATAAAAAAGAAAACACAGTGAAGAAATATGTCAAAAGAAATTTCCAATTGAACACGCCTTGCTGAGACCCGACTCTAATGTTGATTCCCCTTGAAGCTTTAAAAGAATAGAGATGGGTTTGTGATTCTGAAATGCAAAGGCTTGTTTACAGGTTATTTTTTTGAAGTTTATAATGGCTTCAACACGCCTTACATAATATCTAAAGTACAGCATGTATTCTCATATCTTTGTTCGCAGAGAAATTACCTACGTACCTGGACTATATAAAATAGATGAAATCTTAGTAAACGCTGCTGACAACAAGGTACGTTATTATAAACGTCTATTAGTTACCTTTATCTTGTTGATTATTTAAATTTTTTTCGTTAATGTCAGGTTCGAGACGATAAAATGAACCTTCGTAAAGTTGATATTGACGAAGAAGGAGGTCAAATTTCCATCTCTAATAACGGAAAAGGAATCCCTATTGAAATGCACAAAGACGAAGGAATCTATGTACCTCATCTATATTTTCGCAGCTATTTACATCTTCAAATTATGATGATAAGGAAAAGAAAGTTTCCAGTGGTTGTAATGGTTTCGGTGCTAAATTAGCAAACATATACAGTACTGAGATCATTTTAGAAATAGTTTCAAAAGGCAAAAAATATCGCCATACTTTCAGGAATTATATGACCGTTTCGAACAACCAATTCTCACTACTTGTTCCAAAAATGCTGGTGATTACACATGGGTCATCTTTAGGCTCGATCTTCAAAAATTTAAAGATGACTCGGTTTGATGATGACATAATTTCCCTCTTAAAAAGCGTGTATACGGTGTGAAAGAAGTTCGTCAATAATTTTAAAGAATATATGCAATTGTATGTGAGTGATCGCAAAGACTTACAATCTTCCATTAGTGTATGATAAATGTGGTGATCGATGGGAAATTAGGGCCCTTCCTTCCACCGAGTCTCAATTCCATCATGTAAGTTTATGGTTCTTTTTTTCTCTTGATCTTGCATTAAATGTTTATGCGAAAATTCGTATAATTCTAACATTATTTCGTTATTCTTCATTCAAAAATAATAGGTAAGCTTCGTTAATAAAATATGTACTACGAAAGGAGGTATCCACGTTAATTACATTGCAGATTAACTTGCTGAAAGAATCATGACAGCGGTCAAAAATAAGAATAAGAACGCAAAAATAAAAAAGAATCACGACAAAAATCATATGTGGATATTCATAAACTGTTCTATTGAAAACCCATCCTTCGATTCTCGGACGAAAAAGAAAATCTTACATTAAAAACCGCATCATTTGGATCTACATGTGATCCATGTGACGCCTTCTTTAATAAACGTAAGTAATTGTACTATTCATAGCATATCATATAACTTTGTTTTATACTTTAAAATATATATACACGACCTTTTGATTTTTCTCTATAATAGTTCTCAAATGTGGTATCATCGACCACATTCTGGACGAAGTTAATTATAAATTAAATAATGAATTAAAGAAGACAGACGGAAAAAAGAGCAAGAAGTAAGTAAATTGATTGTTGGGAGATTGATAAAAAAAAAATTTTGTTAATTAGATTTCGATATATTTTTCAATAGAACCACTGGTATTTTTAAAATTGGAAGATGCAACGAACGCTGGCGGTAGAAATGCTAAGGACTGTACTTTAATCCTTACCGAAGGTGATTCTGCAAAAACTTTGGCAGTTGCCAGGCTTTCCGAAGTTGACGTGATAATTATGGAATTTTCCCACTCCGAGGAAAACTTTTAAACATTCGTGAAGGTACACACTCCCAGATCATGAATAATTCTGAGATTTAACATATAAAGCAAATCCTTGGACTGAAGCAAGGAAAGGAATATATATCAACAAGCGAATTACGATATGGGCATCTGATGATCATGACGGATCAATATCACGATGGAAGCCATATAAAAGGATTGATATTCAATTTCTTCGATCATTTCTTTCCCTCCTTGTTAAAAGTTCCGGGTTTCTTATGAGAATTCATCACACCGATCGTAAAGGTATGAAACCATTAAATCACGCTAACAAATAAAATAATCGTGAGATCCAATTATAATGCATCAAATTTATTAGTGTACGAAGGGCGATAAAGATGTGTCATTCTTTACTATGTCTGAATATGAAAATTGGAAGAAAATGACCCCTAATGCTAAAAATTGGAAGGTCAAATATTACAAGGTAATTTCTTTATAAATAATTTTTACAACAATTGACTTTACTAACTAATACTGTTGTAATGTTATTCGGTTTCTAGGGTCTTGGCACTTCTAATACCCAGGAAGCTAAAGATTATTTTAGAAGTCTAAAGCGTCATAAAAACCTTTTAGAGCTCTTCAAGAAGATGAACGGGAGTTGATCGATTTGGCCTTTAATAAAAAGAAAGCTGATGATCGCAAGAAATGGTTAAGTAATTATGAAGTGTGTATAGATTTTTTTTTTTCTGTTCCTTGATTCTAATCAGAATGTAACCTCTTTAAAGAAAATTCCACATTCCAAAAAATTTATATTTTTCTAGCCCGGTACGAATCATGATGAGGAAGAATCACGATAAAGAATTTTATAAATAAAGAGTTGATCTTGTTCAGTCAAGCCGATAATGAACGTTCGATTCCAAATGTTCTTTACCGATTAAAACTTGGCCAGAGAAAGTTTTGTACACATGCTTTAAGAAAAAGTACAATAACGAAATTATAGTTTCTTCGTTAGCCGGGGCTGTTTTAGAACAAGCGGCATATCACCATGATAATGCAAGTCTTCAAGGTCCAATCATCGCAATGGCTCACGATTTTTTCCGTTCAAATAACATCAATATCCTTCATGACGAAGGTCAATTTGGTACAAGGCTCAAGGAGGAAAAGATGCAGCTAGTGTTCGTTATATCAGCGTTGCCATGCCAGCATTGACTCGAAAAATATTTCATCCTCATGACTCATTACTAACCTATTGTAATGATGACGGTAACCTGAATGATATTTCCAATTCTGCCAATGATCCTTGTTAATGGCCGAAACCGTGAGTTTATTTAACAACCGGCATATTAAGTATTTCGCAAGACGTATAATAATAATCTTGATTTATCTTATAATTATTAGGTTGGAGTTCATTTATTCCAAATTACATTCCTCGCGATATCGTTAACAATTTAAACGATTAATTAACAATGAAAAACCAATTCCAATGCATCCTGGTATCGTGGATTTCAGGTAACATTATTAATAATCATTTAACAGAATCCTCTAACGGACTTTTGAATTCTCCAAGTATTAATTTATTCCACATAATTTATAGGGTGACGTTGAGAAGCAATGACAGATACAAGATCAATGGCAAGATCCAAGTTAACAATGCGTATATGGACTCAAAACTATAAAGAAACGTATGAGTTGTGGATATCCGGAATAGATAAAGTGCCAAGCTGGATCTTCGTACGAAAACATTTATGTAGCTAATCTGCCTTAAAATTTTTTAATATTCTATTAAATTATTTTTAAAATACTAGGAGTACAAAGAAGACCATACAACCATCACCGTAAAACTATCGCAAAGAGATTCTTTAAAAGAAGGACTTGAGATGAGCACAACCATCGGAACGTCGAACATGGTGTGTTTTGATGGCAAGGGTCGTATTCGAAATATAATTCCCCCGAAGAAATCCTTCAGAAATTTTACATATACAGGCTCGAATATTATGAGAAGAGGAAGGTTTATATTTATATTATATCATCATCATCATCTTAGTATTAATTTAATTTGTGGAGTATGATTCCAAATTTATAATTCTCAATAAACTTTTTAGGCTCACATGATAAATATACTTGAAGCCGAAGTTACCATGAACAAGAATAAAGCCAGATTTGATTAAAATGAGGGCTGATGATAGTCTTAAATTTGAAGGCCTTTCGCGTATTGAGGCTATTGAATTATTAGAGTCCAATGGCTTTGAAAGGTTTACGTATGATAAAGATAACGATAAGGATGATAAGGACGATAAGGATGCAACTGATATGTTTCTCATAATAATCATGGATATGGTTATTTGATGGGTTTTTCAGTGTGGAAATTTTGTAAAGAAAACGTGAATTAAGAATGTCTTGATTATAGTATATTCTTTTCGTTTTAGGAGCAAAAAAAATCTTGAATATAAAAGCAAGAACTTAGAGATCTAAGGAAGAAATACCCCAACAGATGTGGATTTAGATTGTTTTATTGAATCTTGGGATGTAAGTTGTGAATTTATATATATATACACATACATATTTATTTATTTTACTTAAAACAGTAAATAATCATAATCATAATAGTATAATAATAATTTTTTATTACTATTAAATATAATACAGAATATTACGCCGAAATCATTATACCCACTAAATCAAAGGAACAAACATTATCAATTGATGAATCGGTTGACGACATAGTGGACCATTACTCATTGGATCGGAAACGATCATTATCCATTGAATCGATTGATGATGTGTGAGAAAGAAAAAGATCATTGTCAATTGATGAATCGTTTGATAATAAAGACCTTCATGACCTTTACGAAGATATTGAAGAAGTAAGTAAAGGTGCCTCATTATTTCAAAAAGATAATGAGAACATTGATAAAAGGTCAAGGTGAAAAGAATGTTATATGTGATTATTTCACGCCTGTTATTGTTGACATCTCTCCCGTCGATCAACCGCAAAGCAAATTATCTGATGATGAAAATACTTAAATATTTTTTTTTTTTTTTTTTTCGGTTGATTCTGGTGATGAGTATCCCGACTGAGGCTTAAATATTTTATAGAGTAATATAATCTTTTAAATATTAGTATTAATTGTACGACCTTAAGATTTTCACATGGGAACTAATAAAACGAGAAAATTTCGTGTTCGATTTAAAAAATTATTTAAAAGCAAACTTTCAATGTCGCTCTGTTATAGAATAATCAGATTAATCGTGGTAATTTTTTTTAAAAATTGCATGAACATAATAGGTTCACAGTCCAATATCATCCAAAAAAAACTTTTCGATTCGTTTCTTTGTTACTACATAACATTATCACGTAACATATGTAATAAATCCGAATCACCACAGAAAATTTCGCCCGATACAGAAATTCTTTCTTCACAAACCCAAGGTTTGACATTAACAATATATTCTCTCCCCGGAATCTCGCACACATAACATAACACGTTTTCGCGCGGTTGATGGTCAAACTTTTATCCGCTATTTTGAGAAGTTCCCAATGACAACACAACAATTCTATTAGCTCAAGTTCGCTGTATCCGACTTCAGCAAAGGTGCCAGAGTCGTATATCGATAATTCTCCCGTGGAACATGTCGAGATGTTCACGTTTTCCCACGTTGAAGACCTGCTGAGAACGAGTCCGGAAAAGATGAACGTTTTTTCGCCCTAAAGGGATACGAAATCAAGTAACTTCTCGGAGACTATGTACAGGAACCGAGTAGGAGCGGGCAATAGGTAAGATGATGATTCTGTGTTGCGAACGAAAGCATAGACAAATCGTTTCGAAATTGTCGAAACGTTTCGGAAGGATATGAACAATGTCGACTGAAGTTGCAACGGATAAGTATAAGCATCGATAGTAATGTACTCTAAATGTGTTTTAACCCTTTATTTAATAAATATAGCCTGCAAATCTAATCAAGAATACATCGATTTGTCGACTAAGGCATAAAAAAGATGAGACATTTTGGGTTCCAAAGGATAATTTTATATGTATAACATATACCTTTTTAAATTTAATATTTGACAAATGATTATGTTGTTGGTAGAACCGAAATTGTTGAAAAGAAATCAAGGATTATGGACTGGTTGAGCAAAATAAAGTAATTCACTTGTTTACATTACACCATCACATTATGTTAAAGCTCAACAATTTATAGACTTAGTTGAAGATGCTTTTACTGAAGATTCGTATAAGTACTGAAGTTGCAGCTTATTACTTTAATAGTGATTCAGAAGGATTGTTATTAATTATTGATGGTGATGACGTATATCCCGCTGATCGCCCATGAGGGAAAGGTTGATGCATTGTGGTTTCTAGGGTTTTCTTTAGACCGGAACGGTCTGGTCTGGTCTTGCATCATTCAGTCCTACCAGTCCGGTCCGGTCCAAAATTTGTTTCTTTTCAGTTTATAAAACGATCGGGTCCCATTGTTTCTATTCTTTTTTAATCATTTACTAATTATTATTTGTTCTACATGAACTGTATATATTAATTTCATTACCTTTTTTAACATGTCTCCTGTTTCTAATCTATTTATTAATGGTGAAAAAACTTCGAAGCTACATTTGTAGCTTAAACACACAAATAATACTTTGCCATTCGACTTAAAATTGGAAATCCTTTCCTATTGGCATTGCTAAATACCTATATAAATCTTCTTAAATATTGTATACTTGTGATGAGTAAAATTATTATTTTGTAATTGCCAAAAAAAATACTTGTAATATCATCTGATATAAATAATATAATTGAAGTAGATGAGCATCCTTTTAACCTCAAGTTTTTTGCTTTATTAATTTAATTTTCATCTTTGAATACATATAACTTTACTTTTGAATCTAACAATAAAGAAATTTGCAATGATTTTTCTAAAATTGGTAAATTACTTCTCTAATTTTGATAAATTGCATTTGCTATCATCATTATTATTAGCAGCAAAGTAAAGAGAAGTATCATTACTATCATTATCATCATTATTCTCAGTAGCAACAAAGTAAAAAAGAGCATTATTAGTATCACCACTAGCTTTATCATCATCATCATTATCAGCAGCAGCAAAGTAAAAAGAAGCACTATTATTAGTAGCAAAATAAAGAGAAGCATTATTATTATCAAAACTAGTATCACCATTATCATCAATAATAGCAAAAAGGAACACTAACACTATCACTATTACTACTATTTTCATCATTATCAATAATAAAGTACCACTATCATTATTAGCATCAAAGTAAAGAGAAGCATTGTCACTATTACTACTACTACCATAATTATTATCATTAGCAGTAGCAAAGTAAAAGAAGTACTGCCACTACTATTATTATTACCATTATTCTTAGTAGCTGCAAAGTAAAAAGGAGCATTATCACTAGTAATAAAGTAAAAAAGAGTATCACTATTATATCTAATTCTCATATTCTAAGCATTTTAAAACTATTTTATACTATTTTTCAAGTTATTTTACATTATGTTTCAATTATCTTAAACATATCTAAAATATATTCTAGTACCATTGCCATTATCATCATCATTATTAGCATTAAAGTAAAAAGAAACATTGACATAACCACCATTACTACTATCATTATTATTATTAACAGCAGTAAAATAAAGAAGAGCATTGTTACCACCATTATCACTACTATCATCATCGTTAGCAACAAAGTAAAGAAAAGCATCACTACCATTACCATTACTATACTATCATCATTATCATCAGCAATCCTCCATTGACTTTAGTAGTTAAAGTATATTTTGTCTTCTAAGTGACTGCAATACTAGGAAGGAAATCATAAATTTTTTTTTTTTTAAAAAAAAATTACGGTTTACCCTTTTAGAATCATTTTAAGAATAGCGAACGAAAAACCTATTATGTATTGAGAATGTATGACAAACCAAACTTAATCGGTTTAATCAAAACTTTTTGCAACACGCGAGATCTTTAAATATAAAATATTGAATATCTCGTTTGTACAACATGGGATTAAATTGCTAAAAGATTATTTAGATTATTTAATATTAAATCTATTAAAATAATAATACCTAAAACACGATTAACCTTAAGCTTCAGAATCTGTTGCCGTCATATAAATATCCAGCAAGCGTACCAACTTGGTGAATTCATTTTTGATGTTCAAGTTAGAGATAGGATCCTTTAATGAATGAATTATTAATATCAATGTAAATCAAATATGCTCCATCTACTCTACTCCTTTTAGAAATTTAATGACTTTGAAGTGATTGATAACCAGTTAAATTAACGATTTCGTAAAAAAATTTCTCTGTTTTGATTGGTCGATTCAGGGATTAACGCCCATCCAATAGTTTTTTTTTTTTTTTTTTTTTTAATGTTCTAGTGATCGGTCGCCCAAGTATCCCGACTGAGGCTACGCCCATCCAATAGTTCTGTAGTTTGCATATTTATACGGATTTAAAAATATTACAGCTCGATTTAAATAATTTAACTGATCACAATAATATGAACCTACTAACCATACAAGAATCGGGCGTGTTCGAAAATGATCCCTTCGACCAAAATGGACTAACTGGACATACAAGTCCAGTGATTAGACTTATAGC